GTACCTTGGTGTAACCCTAACCAAGCAAGTCAAAGACTTGTATGAAAAAAATTTCAAGTTTCTGAAGAAAGAATTAGAGGAAGATATGAGAAGATGGAAAGATCTCCCATGCTCATGGCTTGGCAGGATTAACATAGTGAAAATGGCCATCTTACCAAAAGCAATCTACAGATTTAATGCAATTCCCATCAAATTGCCAACAAAATTCTTTACAGACCTGGAAAGAAAAATTCTCAACTTCGTATGGAATAACAAGAAACCCAGAATTGCTAAAACAATCCTCTACAATAAAAGATCTTCTGGAGGTATCTCCATCCCTGATCTCAAGCTGTACTAGAGAGCAACAGTTATAAAAACTGCATGGTACTGGCATAGAAACAGAATGGTGGATCAATGGAACCGAACAGAAGACCCAGAAATAAACCCACACACTTACGGACACCTGATTTTTGACAAAGATGCCAAAACCATACAATGGAAAAAAGATAGCATCTTCAACAAATGGTGCTGGTCCAACTGGATGTCTACATGTAGAAAAATGAAAATAGATCCATACTTATCACCCTGCACAAAACTGAAGTCCAAGTGGATCAAAGACCTCAACATAAAACCAGACACATTAAATCGGCTAGAAAAAAAAGTGGGGAATACCCTAGAACTCATTGGTACAGGAGAAAACTTCCTGAACAGAATACCAACAGCACAGGCTCTAAGAGCAACAATCAATAAATGGGACCTCATGAAATTGAAAAGCTTCTGTAAAGCAAAGGACACCGTCATCAAAACAAAGCGACTGCCTACAGATTGGGAAAGAATCTTCACCAACCCTTTATCTGACAGAGGACTCATATCCAGTATATATAAAGAACTAAACAAGCTGAAAAGCAACAAACCAAGTAATCCACTTAAAAAATGGAGTACAGAGCTAAAGAGAGAATTCTCTGCAGAGGAATATCGAATGGCAGAGAAGCACTTAAAGAAATGCTCAACCTCATTAGCCATTAGGGAAATGCAAATCAAAACAACCCTGACATTTCACCTTACACCCATCAGAATGGCCAAGATGAAAAACTCAAGGGACAACACATGCTGGAGAGGTTGTGGAGAAAGGGGAACCCTCCTCCACTGCTGGTGGGAATGTAAACTGGTACAACCACTCTGGAAATCAATCTGGTGCTTTCTCAGACAACTAGGAATAGCGCTTCCTCAAGATCCAGCCATACCACTCCTAGGCATATACCCAAAAGAGGCGCAAGTACACAAAAAGGACATTTGCTCAACCATGTTTGTAGCAGCTTTATTTGTAATAGCCAGAAGCTGGAAACAACCCAGATGCTCCTCAACTGAAGAATGGATGCAGAAACTGTGGTACATCTATACAATGGAGTATTACTCAGCAATGAAAAATAAGGAAATCATGAAATTTGCAGGTAAATGGTGGGACCTGGAAAGGATCATCCTGAGTGAGTTGTCCCAGAAGCAAAAAGACACGCATGGTATATACTCACTCATATAAACATACAATATAGAATAAACCCACTAAAATCTGTACATCTAAACAAACTAAGCAAAAGAGAGGACCCTAACTAAAATGTTCAATCCCCATCCTGAAAGGCAAAGAGGATGGACATCAGAAGAAAAAGAAAATAGGAAACAACCTCGGAACCTGCTACAGAGGGCCTCTGAAAGCCAGAAGAAAACAGGAAACAACCTTGAAACCTGCCACAGAGGGCCTCTGAAAGCTCCTGCAGTATAGACTGTCAAAGTAGATGCTGAGCCTGATGGCCAACTGATGGGCAGAGTGAATGGAATTTTATGTAAGAAGTGGGAAATAGTAAGAGCTGGAGGGGACGGGAACTCCACAAGGAGAGCAACAGAACAAGATAATTTGAACACAGGGAACTTCCCAGAAAATCATACTCCAACCAAGGACTATTCGTGGAGATGACCTGGAACCCCTGCACAGGTGTAGCCCATGGCAGTTCAGTGTCCAAGTGGGTTACATAGTAATGGGAAGAGGGACTGCCTCTGACATAATCTGATTGGCCTGCTCTTTGATCACTTCCCCCTGAGGGGGGAGCAGCCTTACCAGGCCACAGTAGAGGACAATGCAGCCACTTTTGATGAGAACTGATAGACTAAGATCAGAAAGAAGAGGAAAACCTCCCCTATCAGTGGACTTGGGGAGTGGCATGCATGCAGAAAGGGGAGGGAGGATGGGATCGGGAGGGGAGGAGGGAGGGTCTTTTGGGGGGATACAAAATGAATAAAGTGTAATTAATAAAAAATTTAAAAAAAAGAGATTTGAGCATGGGAACCTTCATTTACCCAATCATTGGCAGTAATTAAAAGGCTTTGCTTTGAATCTGTCACCTAAGGAAATGAGGACAAGTTTAGTTACAGAAGTGTGTAAGCTTAGAGGCCCTTAAAACAGGCACTAGAAGTAGAAATCTGAAAATCTCCAGATTACATCCCAGAGGAGAATCTGGAGAAATGGACTAATGGACTATTCCCATTGGAAGAGTAGGAATCAGTGACAGGTCAGTGGCATCCCAAAGACAAGGTTTGGCTCAGTAGAGTATGGATCCTAGCTGATCCTACAATTCAGCAGCGTTGGCCAGAGACCAAAGGCACAGCTGCCCTTCGGAGACACTGTTTACCTAGTGCTAGGATTTTCGTAGACAAGCCTGAGGCGTGAAAACCATGCATGTAGAGGGAAAAATATCTCCCAAGGGAAAGAAGAAGTCCTAAATGGAGGTCAGCAAAAAGGGTCTACCAAAGCCAGTGAAGATCAAAGTGTGTGGGGGGAGGGTTCCCTCCATCTCAAAATGTAGTAGGAAGTTGCTGGATTCTCGGGACGCTCAGGACACTCAATGGTCAAGTTTCCCTTACCAAGAGAGGCATTTATGCTAATCAATGAGGGCAATTTACCAATCCAGTGGCTGGCTAATGAGGGGAACTCACCAATCCAGTGGCTGGCTAATGAGGGGAACTCACCAATCCAGTGGCTGGCTAATGAGGGAACTCACCAATCCAGTGGCTGGCTAATGAGGGGAACTCACCAAGCCAGCTGATGTTGCATGTAGGAGGTAGCAATCAAGTAACCAGGAAAGGGAAGTCCCAAAACCAGAGAAGGGGGAGGAATCCCACCCTCTGAGATAGGCAATAAGTGCAGTACTTATCTGGAGCCCAATTGACCTGAGAGGTGGATTCAGGTGGATTTTCTGCAGCTTACAAAAATCACCTTTAAGTCTTAGTCAGGAGATGAAACTTTAGACATGTTAGCATCACAATTGTGATCTGCACTGAAATATACATAGTAGAAAAGGCAGGAGACATACACATTTGTGTTAACAGCATAAGTTTTCTTTAAGGTGATCCATGGTTGACTTTATTTAATCCTGTTTACAACAGAAGCAGGGCCAGATCTCCCACACTCATATCTGCAAGCCAGCCCACCTGCAATTCTGCAATGTGAAGAAAACTGTTTCTAGAGTACTGTAACTGGCTAGAAGTGGTGTCAGGTCTCCCGATCTGAAGCCCTCAGGGCCAGCTCTCCCACAATGCCCAGGGGAAGAGTGGGGTCACTTATGCAGGATCGGACATCAGCATGTTCCCAGGCAGCAGTCCATACGTGAAATCTGGTTGTTCCTTAAAATCTTTTCATTCTTCATCAGTCACAAAATATAATGACTTCTGTATCAGTTACTTTTCTCTGTAGTCATAAAACACTAATAAACCTATAGAAGTGTTTATGGCTTATGATTACAGGGGTATTAAAGTCCCTCATGGCAAGGAAGCTTGACAAGAAGTAGCAGGCATGGTAACTGTGGCAGACAGATAAACTTTTACATCCTCAACCAAAGCACAAAGCAGAAAACAATCAACAAAAATAAACAATAAAACTGGAAGTAAGGTGATATTTAAACTCACAAAGCCAGCCTAGTGATGCACTTCCTCTATCAAAGATGCAAACCACCCCCTAACAAGCCTCTCCAAGCAGCATTATCAACAGAAGCATTATCTATTGCCTGAGCCCAGGAGGACATTTCTCATTTAAACCACCACAACAGTACCTAGGCAGAGGGCAAAGGACAACTTTCAAGACTTGGTTCTCTCCTTCTACCAGTTTAGTACTAGCAATCAAACCAACCTTGTCAGGTTGATAGCAAACCTTACTTTCCACTCAGACAGCTAGCTGTCCCCTCTTTAAAGGTTTTACTCTAAGATGATTTTTAAAATTAATAGCCATGTACTCTGAGGACACATGAGTAAAATGAACACTGGGCCTAAGAGGCCTCCTGAATATGAGAAAGCAGCCATTTGAGAATATCTTACTCTGTGTTTAGCCTTGGTTTACTTTATCTTATTTTGTCAGCATATTACAGTACCTTGGAGGTTAACCTGGGGTCTCCCGTAAATTAGGCGTACATTGTACCACTGCGCTACAACCCCATCTCCTCAAAGGGCCTTTGAAAGGCCTGGCTTTCTCTTTCTTTGCTTTTAAGGAAAATTTCGTGGACAGCTTTGAACTGCTAGAAAAAAATTTTCAAACTATTTTGCTACATGATTTTTAATAAGTTGATTAAATCTGTCAGTGCTATAAACAAAATAATGCAATATGTGACATGAGTAATGAAGGAAGGGGTTGAAAATAAGAGATGACGCATTAATGAAAAGTCTAATCTTGTAAGCATCAAAAGTTTAATACAAACAAAAAAGGGTTAACAACTCCTAAATAGTTAAAGACACATGCAGCCATCTTAGACATAAAAAGATGAATTTGAACAATTTATTTCAGTGTGACACACCAGGATGCATATTTCCAGCTCTAAGTACCTCCAATATTAAATGTAAATTCAATGAAATTAAATGGTATTTTGAAAACAGGAATGTTTTAAAGCTATTTGAATATTTGTGAGAAAGGCACATTTTCCCCTATTTAGTTAAAGAAAGTGTAATTTGAAAATTCCCGTTGTAAATCAAGGCAGTTTTAAAGTTTAGTGTATGGATTGCTGAAGCAGCTGTCTCCATGAAAATCGTAAGCGCTACATGAACGTTCTGAAAATTCTATCAGCAAATATTTTTATCATGAGTAAAAATATGTTTTGAGATCTTTAAGAATAAAAGATATTTCCTACAGTACTTCTCATGGCACAAAGCAAGTGAAATGGGCATGTTGTTCGTGGGCTTCACAGGGCAACACCAAACCCACTAGAGCATCCTTTTTAGTTCTTCCTCATTGTCAAGATCAGGACTTCTGTGCAATTCCACATGCTCACTTTCCTTCTCTGTGAGCCTCATCTCCGCAGCTTCGGTTTCTGAAGAGTCGATTTCCCCAGGGAGTTGAAGCTTCCTCATAAGTAATAGAATGAAGAATGCAGGGAGAATATTTAATCCTCTTAGTGCTGCAGGAATCCCAAGGAAAATGCGCCTATTGAAAAGAGCTGATTTGCATTAAATCTATATGTATTTAGTGAAAACTAATATTGTATATTCTTACAGGTCCTTTATTCTTCCAAGCATCTGGTGATAATTATGCCAATGTGTTTTATATAATCTACTTTGCTGCGTTATTAATTCTGTTTGTTAAATTGTCAAAAATTCTCACCATAAAACTATCGATATATTTTCTTCATGTTGGTTTAGGCTCATTTCCATTGTCAGCCTGACTGAATTTAGAATCATTATAGAAACACATCTCTGAGTGTGTCAATGAGGATGTTTTCAGAAAGGTTTAGCTGACATTGAATTTCCACCAGGAATATGAGAAGCACTCAGTGTGTCCAGAAAGAATATTCAACATGATCAGTCTCCTCAAACTTATCCTCCATACCTCCTGTGTCTCTACCTCACACATCAGCCCCATACCTCCTCTGTCATTTCCTCACACTCTGACACCATGCCTCAGAGAATATTATCACTGTTCTCTGAAATACTGAGAAAAACAAAAACAAACAAACAAAAAAACATAAAACCCTAAATCAGGTTAAGGGACTTAGTCTTTTATGTTTGTTTTGCTCAAATTTTGATCACACATATATAAGACATCATAAAGTCACTTTTCAAGTTGTCTCTCCTCCTCAGCATTTATATCATGCTGCACTAATAGATTTTTGTGATGTTGAAATCCTTGTGTGTCTGAAATAAGTCTTATTAGTCATTTTTATGTATTATTCAACTCATACATAATTTTGCATGTACAGAAATCAAATAAAATTATTTTATTATTTTTAATTTTGTATATGCATTCATGAGCCTGAAGAGTTAATCCAACCTGGAAACTATAGTAAGAGGAAGTTGTGAGTTTCCCAATGTGGATTATGGAAATTCAACTCATGTTCTGTGCAAGAGCAATATGGGTTCTTAAACCCTAAGTGCCCATTTCTTTAGCCACTAGTTCTTTTCATTTGAGGAACTTGTCCAGTTTAAGGATGAATGCTGTACAAGCTTCCTGAAATTAATTAGGTATTTTTTTCCTTTCACCATTTATTTGAAGAACTTATATACTGTTATAAGCATCTGTTCTTTGTAAACTTAATAAAATATGCCTTAAGGTGTCTGGATTTAATGGATTTGGAAAATGTACATTTTTGATATATATACATTTCTAAATAACTATGAAAATATTCCTTCCTATGCTCAACATATTTACAGTAAAATATGATGTGATGGTGAGAGACCAAAAGATAAAGTAGCAGCTATCATTAAAACCTAGAGTAGGTGCAGTAAAAAGTTAGTAATGCCCTGAGGGGAGAGCTACCTCACTGCATTCTTTCCCCACCCACTAGAGATACGGTTGCTAGGAAACTGGACCCTCCCCCTAGGGATGGACACCTGGTCATGGTCAATGGTCTGGGAACCTTCTTATAGCCAATCGATTCAAAATATAGCATCTTGACCAATAGATGCTTGCCAGGCAGGAATTGCCCCTGCCTTGGGTATGCTGGGAGGGACCAGAATCTATAAATCACCCAACTAACCTGGGGATGGCGCTCAGCTCCCACCGCTTCGGCGGTGGGGCTGTGTCGGCCCAAGCTGCAGCTTGTAATTTACAATAAAAAGACCCTCATGTGTTTTGCAACGGAGTCGATTCCTGTAGATCTTTTGGGGGCTTGCGAACTGGATATAACAATGGATAGTGTTGTCAACTCCATACAATCTAGCATCTCCTGGGAAGGAAGTTTCAATGAAGGCCTGTGTGGGTTATGTTGGCCTGTGAACATGTCGGTGGGCCACTATTTTGATTACATTTATTGACGTGAGAAGAACCGGTCCACAGTTGGTGTTACCATTTCTTAGGCAAGAAATCCTGGTATACATAAGAACAGAGGAAATGGAGCTAGGGCTTGGTGGTGTATGTCTTTAACCCCAAACCTCAGAACCCAGAGGTAGACATACCTCAGTGAGTTCAAGGCCAACCTGGTCTACAAAATGGGTGCCAGGACAGTCAGGACTGTACACAGAGAAACCCAGTATTAAAAAACAAAAACAGGGGCTGGAGAGATAGTTCAGAGGTTAGGAACAATGCCTGTTCTTCCAGAGGTCTTGAGTTCAATTCCCAGCAACCACATGGTGGCTCACAACCATCTGTAATGAGATCTTGTGCCCTCTTCTGGCATGCAGGTGCACATGCAGGCAGAACACTGTATATATAATAAATAAAATCTTAAAAAAAAAAAAAACAATGAAGAGTAGAAGAAATTATCATGGCTCCTTCTGCAGAGGGAAAGTATAAATATGGTAGACAGTATAGATGCTTAAAACTTCAGAAATATAATCATTTTTTCCTAAATAAATAGGAAACTAATATCTTAGTTTACTTTCCTGACAGTGTTATAAAAAATGTTGGCAAAATCAATTTATGAAAGAAGGTTTAGTTTGCTCACAATTCTGAAATACCATTCTTGGGATGGCAAAGACAACTGAAACTTTACCACACCAAGATGTGCTCACAGTAGTTGAGTACTTTCACTCTGTTACTACGGGTTTGCCAGATGGGAATGGGATCTCCGCCAGCCCTAGTCATAAATCCTTGGGACAGAAAAATGGCCACCTCTTTTCCCTTCAGTATTTTTTTTTCATTATAATGCTTACCCAGAAAGAGACCAGGATTAAGTCATACTCAGAGATGGGAAAACTTTCTTTAGCCTGAAGATGGTTTAGCAGCAAGGAGGAGCTTTTGCTACAATGCATTCTGTAGCAAAGAAAGATTCCCTGTGAGATTCCTTGGGTCTGCTGCCCTACAGCACAAGCAGGGTAACAGCCAGAGTCTGCTTCAAGGTCAGCATGGAATGACCTTGAGGATGTGGTAGCAGTGAACCCACAATTCTTTCACTGTGCTGTTAGTGGCAGGTGCCTACATACCATTGAGAGTGACGGGAACCATGTGAGTAACAGCTTTCAGACCAAGCAGCTATGTGAAACCACCCAAACTGGGTGCACCTGGATCTCCTTGATCTTCTGGTTCTTGAGAGTGATGGCTTAAATTATTTCTGTGTGTGGCATCCTCCTCTCCCTTGGGACACTTAGTGCGTTTGTACCACTATCACTCTACTGTGTCAAGGTGTATTTATAAGGCTGCTCACCACTAAGTGCAGTGGAGTTCAGGAGGCAAGACTGTCAGTCAAATCTAGATAACAATGTCTCAAGATTGCCCCTTGCTATAGTACCTGACCCGTTTTGTGAAACTGTGTAGTACCACACAGATTGGGGTTCTCATCTACTCAGGCTGCAAACAAGAGAGGGCTGTGAAATTTCAAGGAGATAGAATGCCAGAATCCACACTGCCTGAAAGTACTGGGACTCTGTCATCCCTATCCCTGTGGAAGGGTGGTGTTCCTCCTCTCTGTCCATAGGTATAGGGTGGTATGTACTGAGAGATTGTGTTCTCAACTAGAGCACAATTGTTCCATGTCTCTGAATCTTGCTGTCCTGTTTATCTCTTGTGTTCTGCCATACTTGCTCAACTCAAGATGCTCTTCACCTGTCACTCCAAAGCCTCGATGCAGACATCTACTCCTTTTCTAAAGTATTTTGAAGAGTATTTAGGAAACCCACTCAGCCTTACATGCATCAAGGACTTTAGAGATAATGGGGAAATATTAAAATATATAAACAAGAGATACCATCCATGTGTATTCTGATAATGATGTCATATGCAATCTTATCACTCAAGAAAATGTGACATATGAATGGAGACATTTTATGTTACAAAAGTCAGTCTCAAAAGTTATATTTACCTGAAGCTATTTATATCATACATCCTGCATGCCCCTGGCTCACCACATTTCAGAGTTCCCCAATGTACACATGTTCTGTCTATCAAAGGGCCAAAGTAAATAGGGGCCAGAATCCCAGCTGCAATGAAGAGAGAAAAAACAAACAAACAAACAAACAAACAAATCAATAGCAACAACATCAAAAAACCCAGCTCATTGAGTGGGAAAAAAAGAAAGGAAGATATACTTTTTTGTTTATAATTACTTGAATTTCCTAAATTTTGAAAAAACGTATATAACAAGTGATTCAAATGCTCTAAACTTTTCGGGATTGTAAGTTAATGTAAAGTTCCTAGATCACAACAAATGAAAGCTATATATAAGATGCAAAGAAAACATTCATTGAGTTCATGATCATGAACCTCAAGTATTTTCTGAAATGCTTTTGATTGGTTTTCTGTACATCTAACTAAGAAAACTATTTCCTTCTCATTTTATTATTGAATATATTAAAAGATAAAAGAAGTAACTAAGTTCAAGTAAGATCTTTAAAGGTAAGGGCAAACATTTCTCTACAGTTAATTCATTCTCAGACTAACACAAATAGCCATTTCCAAACACAAGGTTGGTGAACTGAGGTTCAGGGTAAAGTAAGCAGAACACACCTATGTGAATGATGCTACAAGGTCATTCGAACTTCCTGGTGTTGGACAGTTGGGAAATTGCAGATCCAGAGACAAATTATCTTTACCTGTCTTACTGATCACTTCTTGCCCTTCCCCTGTCTCTGACCATATACCTGTGTAACTATCACATGAAGCTTTGGTGATGTATTGACTGAGGAGGCCCTCACCCTCTACCTACCCAAACACTAAGAATGTAATCAGCTAGCATCTGAGTCTACAGGAGAGAATGCCCTGCTTTTCTGTAACTATCCTACTGACCTTTCCAAGAGTATATTTGATAAGTCCTTTTTCCCAGAATCCTTTGTTCTCTAACTATAAATATCACGAAACAGTCCTTCTGTTGGAACATACTCTCTGGATGACCTGAATCTGTGTACCCATGTTTATGGTTACTCATAGTTGATTCCAGAATAAACCTTTATTTTCTTTAAAGGTTGAGAGTTGTGTTTTGGTTTGAGAAGATAGTTGCTATCTTCTTAGTCAGGGAAAATTAATTGGTTTACTAAGCATGAAATATTTGTCAGATCTGTTAGGGATATCTCTCATACCAAATAATCTTGTGCAAAATATATGTAATCCAACACCAAGTGACTTCTCTTCAGACTTGATACATCTGAAAAATACATGCATATATTTATACTTACGCACATATACACATACACATACACATACATACATACATACATACATACATACATACATACAGAAAAGTTAATCGTGCAAATCCATGTCTGCCCTATCATTCCCACAAAGACAGTGGTAGTTGATGATTCTAATGCTTAAGCTTTTCATCCTGAAGTGAGAATGGGATAGATCTACCTCTTAAGCCCTCACAGAGGCAGGAGAGTAAGGACTTCTGAAACCTGACTTCGGATCTCTATGCATCTAAAGTAGGGCTGAGCCCATTAACACTTTGATATTTTCCATTAACCTAGATGAATAGATTCCTGATGACCATGGTGACAATCATGCCATACTCACCATAATGGACCCAAACCTTTGAAACCCAAAACAAATAAATATTTATCTTTAGTTGTTTGCCAAGAAACTTCTCATGTTGATTAAAAAAAAACTAATACATGCTATGTAAAAATTCAAAAATGGTAAATGTAGTCCCAGAGATGAACAGAGAAAGAGCCCATTTTGCACTCTATAACAATGAGAAAATGACTTTGTTATGTGGATTTAACAACTTTAGATATTTATCTCCCCAATACTGCCTACAAAAGTAAATTTGAGATGGTTTTGAAAATTATGTTCAAAGGGGAGGCCAATAAAAGCCATAAGGAGAAAAACTGAAAAGTATTCTTATACATATTCCATATTTATATATTTATTCGTATAGAAATTCCATATTTATTAAAATATTGAAGCTTAAAATGTGGTCTTTTCCCACCAAATACATCCCTGGGGAAAAATAAAATCAAAATAGGTGTAACTTTTTGAATTTCATTTTGGAAGTGATTCCATGAAAGACTTAAAAAAAAACACAACAGACTAGAAGAATAATGCTAGCATGCAAACAGTAATAATGTATTTTCTATCATTTACATTGCAATCATCAACTTCTGTAAGAAAGAGAAAAAAATACAAGAAAAATAATTTAATTATACCTTATCATCATTACACCAATAAATCACAAATTAGGGCCTATTATAAGACACCCCTGTAGGTAAAGTTGCTTGCAACCATGCTTGAAAAGTTGAGTTCAATACCTGGAACCCACATGGTACAAAATGAACCAAATCCTGTGAGATGTCTTGTGACTTCAATATTCATGCCCTGGCATGCCAGCATTCACACACATACACATACGCACACACAAACACATTCACAGAAACACACAATATTTTAAGTAATCATGCATTAAAACATCAACCAGACACATTTTTTACACCCAGTTGAAGAGTCAACTTCAGAAAGTAAGGTAACTGAGAAAGTGAGTGGGGGATGGGAGTTAGAATAGGTATGCAGTAAATGTGAGAACATCTCTACAGAGCATGTTTCGAGGTTCTAACAGGAGCATTCAGCTGCTCATATGCCCTTCAGCTATGACCATCCTTCTCTATGAGGAAAAGTCATCCTTGTCAACTGAGCCTGCAGCTTTGGAACTGAGGCATCTGGAGTAGTGAGCAAGAAAGACACCACTTAGCCACATCAGCTGAATCTGCCTAGAACATGAAGGGTGACAGATGCCACAGCCAAATGTTCCTCATTTGCAAGAAAAGGGATTAAGAACTAGCAATACTTGATGTTGTCCTTTTGTTGTCCATGAATCTATGAACTGAAGAAGGGAATAAACCACATCTCTATTTGCTGAATAGAAAAATATAATTTCAATAGAAGATGAATAAATGGGGACATATATCCAGACTATTCCAGTGAGTTTGTATGAGGGGTAGAAGCAGGGTGGAAAAGAACAAAGGGGAGGAAAGGGAAGGGTTAGCAGACAAGAGGGGAGAGCAGGGAAGGGGAGGAGAGGAAAGGAGAGAGAGAGAGTGGAAGAGAGAGAGGAGGGGAGGGGAGGGGAGAGGAAAGGAGAGGGGGAGAGGGGAGGAGAGGGAAGGAGAGGAGGAGAGGAGAGAAAGGTGTGTTGGGAGAAGAGGAGAAAAGCAAAAGAGAAGGAAAGGAGAAAGGTATTTGAAAAAGGAGGAGAAGGGGATGCAAAGGGAATGTGGGCAAGGGGGGGGTTGGAAAAGCACAGGGAAAGAGAGAAGTGAGAAACATGCTCCAGTCTGTTTTATGTATAATTGAATCACAAATCATGGTTAACTCAACTTTACAATGAGACAATCAAAGACAGGTAACACTCTTTTCCCACCCATTTTAGCAGGTGTGAAATTCGTAGGCTGGAAAGAACATTTGCTAAGAAAATAAACTTCAAAACTTGGCTCTGCCACATCCTCATTTTATCTTAAAAAGCCATGCGTCTATCATTGCATTCATAACCCATCTTGCTCCAGAGTAAATATTAGTGCATTAATGTACTTCCCAATTAGAGAGTTTCTGTCACTGCATTCATGGCTTTGGTTTAAGACAGTTTGAGCTCAGGGTGTCAAGGGATCCTGGCCACTTTTACACAGGGTTTCCCACTCTGCCAGTCAGTTGGCTGAGTCATAGGCAATGAGTGCTACACAACTACTCTCCACCTGTCATAACATGATGTCCATTCATTTTGGTTTAAGATATAAGAGGTAGAAGTAGGAAAGGTCAGGAAAGAAAATTTTTAATTATTGTTGAGTTTAGCAGTGCTTAGTATTGGAGTCTTGATAAAGGTAACTTAGAGCACTGAGGTTCTAAGAAACAATAACAAGGACCTTTCTTGGAAAAAGAAACTTTAACAAATGACCGAACATCTAAATAACAACACTGGAGTGGATCCATGGGTAAAAAGCCAAAAATACTTGATGACTTTGATGACCTAGAACCTGAGAACAAATGTAAAATATTAAAATAAAGAAGTCCAATCGAGTGGCATGCATTTGTAATCCCAGAATTCCCACAGTGAGATTGGAGTAGCAAACAGCATTGACTGGGATGTTGAGGGCCAAGTAGGTTGGAGTACACAGGCAGAACAGCAGCAGGAATAACAAGAGAGACCCTGCCTCAAATAGATGAAATGAGAGATGATTCTCCAAAATTGTTTTCTGACTTCATTATGTTCTTAGTGGCACACAGGAACTCACAGCACACACACACAGATTCACTTATGAATACAGTATGAAGAACAAGAGAAAGCTAAATAAAGGAACTACTTATTACCTCAGAAGAACCATGTACCCAGGTATAGCTGAAAGTGAGAAGATGAAACTTTCAATTACTGACATGATTAAAAAGTACTGCAGCATGCTATCACACTCACGGCCCTTGTCACACAGCCCAAGGACTGCAGATGAGTTTCCAGATGAGCGAATGCAGCTGCAATTGTGAAACACCTGTCAAAAAATGATGTCCAGTTTAAGAAAAAAATATTGTTCTTTTTTAATTAATTACAGTTTATTCACTTTGTATTCCAGCTGGAGCCCCCTATCCATCCCCTCCCAATCCCACCCTCCCTCCTTCTTCTCCTATGCTCCTCCACAGCCTAATGATAGGGTAGGTCCTCCTCCCCTTCCATCTGACCCTAGTCTATCAGGTCTCATCAGGACTTGTCTTCCTCTGTGGACTGGAAAGGCTGTACCCTCCTCAGGTGGAGGTGATCCAAGAGCCAGCCCACGAGTTCATGTCAGAGAAAGTCCCTGTTCCTATTATTAGGGAACCCTCTTGGATGCTGAGCTGACATGGGCTACTTCTGTGCAGGGGTTCTAGGTTATCTTTATTTTATCTCAGAAAAGTCCCCTGTGCCCAGGTTTTTTGGTTCTGTTGCTGTCCTTGTGGAATTCCTGTTCCTTCCAGATTTAAGAGGGGGGAGATAGAAAGACCAGGAGGGAAAAAAAAATATTGTTTTTAAACCTTCAGTACTTTCAACAAAGACAGTTGAAAGAAAATGGAGAGTGTTGGGGCCAATGCTATAACTCAGAGGAAAAGCACTCATCTAGTTTGAATGAAGACCTGAGTTTGAGCATATACAACGTTAAATAAAAAATACTAAATCAATAAAATGAGGGGATTTTTCTCTTTATTTCTGTCTTCTTTTTTAATTTCACAAATCTCTCATAAAAATAGACATGTAGACTTTATAATTTTTTATTTGCTACAATTTATTCATTTTATATCCTGATTGTAGCTCCTTCCCTCATCTCCTCCCAGTCCCACTCTCCTTCCCTTTCCTTCCATCCCCTTCTCCTAGTATACTTAATGGGAGAATCCTCCTGCCCTGTCATCTGAGCAGGGGATCTGGGTCCTCTTGATGCCTGGTCCTTGGCTGGTGCATTAATCTCTGCAGACCCAAACAGTAGGTTTTTTAATGGCATTATTTGTTTTATTTTATTATTATGTGATAGGGTTTCTTTAAGTAGCCTCAGATGTCCTCAACACACTCTGCAGACCAAGCTGGCTTCAAATAAAAGATCCTCCTACAAGGAGAACAACAGAACCAAAAAAATCTGGGCACAGGGGTCTTTCTGAGACTGATACTCCAACCAAGGACGATGCATGGAGATAGCATAGAACCCCTGCTTAGATGTAGCCCATGGCATCTCAGTCTCCAACTGGGTTTCCTAGTAATGCAAACAGGAACTATCTCTGACATGAACTCAGTGGCTGGCTCTTTCATCACCTCCCCCTGAGCAAGGAGCAGCCTTACCAGGCCACAGAAGAAGACAATGCAGCTAGTCCTGATGAGACCTGATAAGTTAGGATCAGAGGGAAGGGGAGGAGGACCTCCCCTATTAGTGGACTTGGGGAGGGGCATGGGAGGAAATGAGGGAGATAAATAAATTTTAACAAATAATTAAAATTCATATTTCATTTTGATTGTCAACCAACTGTATGTATTATGACATGTTTAAGGGAAGGGAAAGTGCTTGACTCTTGACATCTTGCTAAACTATCATGATGAGGGCTGGGGAGATGGAATAGTCAGTAAGTTCTGCACAAGCATGAGGACCTGAGTTCTCATCCCCAGCAGACACATGAACAGTGCATGCATAGAACATGTGCTTGCCACACTGTTGCTGTGTGGTGGATATGGGTGACTCCCTGGGGCCCACTTGCCAGGAAGCCTAAGAGGACCAGCAAATTCCAGGCCACCACTGAGGGAGAAACAGCCTTACCAAGCCACAGAAGACAATGCAGCCATTCCTGATGAGACCTGATAGACTAGGATCAGAAGGAAGGAGAGGGGGACCTCCCCTATCTGTGGACTTGGTGAGGGGCATGTGTGAAGAAAGGGGAGGGAGGGTGGGATTAGGAGGGGAGGCAGAAGGGGTTTATGGGGGGATACAAAGTGAATAAAGTGTAATTAATAAAAGTTAAAAAAAAGAGTAGAAACTTAATATGACTAGAATGTTTGGATCTGGGCCTTTGCAGATAATTAGGATTAGGTAAAGCTGTTGAAAAGGCATAACCATGTTAGAATGTTGATAGCTTTAGAGGTGAAAAGAGCCCATAAAACACACATACTTTCAGGCCTTTTGCCTCTTTTCTTGGAATGTTTTATGACCCCTTCAAGATTCTGTACAGCAGAAGCATGTTACCTCAAGGGGCCTTTTGTTCTTAGGCCAAAACTGTGAGCCAAAATAAATTTCTCTTTTTATTAAAAAAAAAAGAAATCACTTATCTAGTTCCATGTTTTAGAGACCACTATTTTATCAAATTTTATACATAATACTATAATATTTGTAATGCCAAAGGAAAATTCCTTTCTTCCTTCCTTTTGGACCTCTTTCATTTTGTACTCTGCAAGTTAAAACAACAGCATTTGGTAAATAATTTTAGATGTTAATATTATTGTTTAATTTGTAATTTACACAATTTCAGTTCTTACCTACTTTTATATTAAAAAAAAAAGTTCTTGGAGAAAAAAAAATTCCAGGCCAGTAGGATCCTGTCTCAGAAGCACCAAGTACATGGCACCTGAGAGGTGAGGTTGTCTTTTGGCCTGCATATGCACACACACATACATACATAATAAGTCTAATTAATTAATTAGCTAATTTAACTAATTAATTAATTAGTTAAAGCTTGTTATATGAAAAGATAATTTTTTCTCCACCTCAACTATAGCTAGATTGAGATGATCCAGGGCGTCATGAGACCCTATCACAATAAAGAGCAGATCCCTCCTGAGTAATTTACTGTTTTAACTTTAATGCTGTTGTATGTGTACGTGGGTGTCTGGGGAAGGCAGAGGAGAGTGTCAGGTGTCCTGCAGCTGGAGCTGTGAGCGTCCCCATGTGGGTGCAGCAGGTGCTCTTCACAGCTGAGCTCTCTCTCCATCCTGTCCAGATATATAGTCCTCACATCACTTGAATGATGACCTCAGACTCTGTCAAGGCTTTAAATAATCTGTAGGGATGGTAACGTCAAGGATGCGTATACAGACTAAACTGAGTTGTTCACAGGAATATTAACCTATTTTAAAGCATGACTAATTTTGCTTTTCAGCAGCTGTAGGCTTAGGCCATGGCACATGTTAACACAGTACACACACATCAGCCCAGACACTGAAGGATGTTTACCATGTTGATTCCCGTTCCAACAGACTTCTCACAGCCTGCAAGACAGGCAGACATGTATGCTAGGCCATTGTCTCCACACACTGGATCCCATGTTTTTGTTAAGCAGCTACACCTTGTGTTACAGTCAGCGAGGACCATATTCTCCACATCAAGAGGCTGCTGAACTCTGAAATGATTTAAAAATAATGGTACAGATATTAAACTCACTCGAGCAACTTATTTTCTTCTCTTCATCCCCGCATGTGTTATTTAAAGCCTTGACAGAGTCTGAGGTCATCATTCAAGTGATCCGAGTGCTATATATCTGGACAGGATGGAGAGATAGCACAGCTGTAAACAGCCACTGCTGCACCCACATGGGGACACTCACAGCTCCAGCTGCAGGACACCTGACACTCTCCTCTGCCTTCCCCAGACACCGTCATGCACCCATACTCTTCTGAGATATGAACAGTGCCCGGTGCTTATAATGGGATTCAAAGAGGAAAATGTTGAGTCTAAAGGCTGAATTCAAATCCTGTCCCTCAAACACAGTGTGCAGTCAGCATGATGGGAGATGGACTCAGTGTGTACAATTCTACCTTGGTATTGTAGAAGCCATTTACAGCAAACCCAGTAATTTCCCCTGAATTACAATTTCTATATCTGCAAAGAGAATGGGAAAAAAATCTGCCTTAAAAAGAGATTTAAATCTGGTGACACACAAACATATATATTCCAAATCTTAGAATTCTTTTTTTTAAGGATTTTGAAAGAAATTTTGTTTTAACATCTAACTCTCTCTCTCACTGTGTGTGTGTGTGTGTGTGTGTGTGTGTGTGTGTGTGTCACTCATGAGCATGCAGGCTCATATTATAACAGCATGCATGTGGGTATGTGGAGATCGGAAAGTAATCTCCAACCTTGTTGGAGACAGAGTCCACTGTTGTTCACTACTGCAAATGCCAGGCTAGCAGGTTCTGAACTTTTGGGGTTTCCTAGCTGTGCTGCTCAGCTCACAGTAGGAGCACTGGGATGACAGTTACCATACAATGTCGAGCTTTATGCAGGTTCTAGGATCTGAACTCGGGACATCCTGCCTGCTTAGCAAGTTCTATACCATTGAGTCCTCTCCTCAGACCTTTGAAAAGAACCTCCAAGTGTATACTTTATTTCATTTTAACTTCTTGGTTGATTATGGAACTGCACCTTAAATTAACTTCTAAATTTCCCGTGCTAGTACAGAATATAACCAAGAAACCCTTAAAATACAAATTCTAAAAACCACAGAGTATATGAGATATAACTATACAAGTGACTTGTATATAACTATACAAGTGACCTGTATATATATATATATATATATATATATAGAGAGAGAGAGAGAGAGAGAGAGAGAGAAATTGACTTACCATGTATTAGATTCAATTATGCTAAATTTCAGCCCACTGTATAAATCGATGAAAGCTTGCTGAACTGTATAGTCAACTCTTAAGCTATCTTTTGATGGAAGTATAAAATCGATGGATAATTTCAGCTAAAGCCTCTAGGGTATTTTCCTTTATTACACCTTAAAGCAGACTACAATATCACCATGACAACTACCCACATGCATGTGGAATCATAAGCTTACGGTAGTCCACATACTTCTTTAATAAGCATATAACTTGTATGGGCTTGTATTGGATTAATGGGTGAAAGGAAGCTACAGGATAACCATGGATCGCTGCCATTACATTGTAAAAAAATTATCTGGGCATGTATCACTCTTGGAAGAAATGGACTGGCAGTTGTGAAAATGATCTTCATTAGGAAACAACATACCCCTCATAAGATGTAGATATGCCAGCAACTGCGAAATTATCACAGGTCATCACAAAGTTACAGAAAAATAGAAAGTACTGAAACAACCATAAGCAGAAAGCTAAGTATGCAGCTTTCTTGACAGTAATCTTGAATTTCTTCATAATAAAGCCACCAACTAAGTATCCAATGCATACTGGAGTTAAGTTATGAAGACCTAAAAAAGCAAGTAGAATAATATTTATAAAAGAGAGAAGAAAATTGATATTATACATTTGTTTAATATATCTTATATAAGAAACTATTTAATGCTAATATACACTGATCCGACCCCTACTTGTTCACACATTACATAGGAAAAAAAGCTTACAAAAGCACCAAAAAGTAAGCTTAAAACAATAGGTAGCATTTATTTAATCATTTGCAGCAGGTAATAAAGACTTTTAAGCAACACACATAAGATATGAAGTACTTTATGTATTTTCCCTTCTGTGTACTGGAAATTTGACACAGGTCCAGGTGACTTCAAAGGTCACTGCTGAGTCTTTGCATATCAAGCATAGAACATATTTTGCATTGTCTTTTGCCCAACATTCTTCTTCATTTACTCTCTTTCTCCAGTCAAAACTCAAAGGAAAAAAAAAAAGGATGGAGCATCCTCCCTAGGATACTCCTTGTTGTTTAGCTTCTTTAGGACTATAGATTTTAGCATGTTTATCCTATATTATACAGCAAATATCCACTTATAAGTGAGTATATATCATGTGTGTCTTTCTGCTTCTGGGATACCACACTCAGGATGATCTTTTCTAGTTCCATCCATTTGCCTGCAAATTACATGATTTCCTTTTTTTTTTTTTAATTGCTGAGTAGTATTCCACTGTGTAAGTGTACCACAATTTTTGTATCCATTCCTCAGTTGAGGGACATCTAGGTGGTTTGTAGATTCTGGCTATTACAAATAAAGCTGCTACAAAAGTGGTTGAGCAAATGTCTTTGTTGTCTACTTGAGCATATTTTGGATATATGCCTAGTAGTGCAATAGCTAGATCTTGAGGTAGCACTATTTCCAATTTTCTGAGAAAGCACAAGATTGATTTCCAAAGTGGATGTACAAATTTCCACTCACATTAGCAATGGAGGAAGATCCCCTTTTCTCCACAAACTCTCCACCATGTGTTGTCACTTGAGTTTTTGATCTTAGCTATTCTGGTGGGTATAAGGTGAACTCTCAGGATCATTTTGGTTTGCATTTCCCTGATGACTAAGGACACTGATAATTTCTTTTACGTGTTTGTGTGCCATTCAATATTCCTTTTTTGAGAATTGTCTGTTTAGCTCTGTACCCAATTTTTACATTGCATTACTTGGTCTGTTGGTGTTAAACTTCTTGAGTTTTTATGTATTTTGGATGTAAGCCCCCTGTCATATATAAGGTTGGTGAGGATCCTTTCCCAATCTGTAGGTAGAAAAAGGCAGGACACAGGATAGGAGCTACCACAGAGGGCCTCTGAATGGATCTATCCAGCAAAGTATCAAAGCCAATGCTGACACTCAGAGCTAAACTTTCGGTAGAGTGCAGGGTATCTTATGGAAGAAGGGGGAGATAAAAAGATGTGGAGGGAGCAGGAGCTCCACAAAGAGAACAACAAAGCCGAAAAATTTGGACCCAAGCTGTTCCTGCAGGGACAGATGTGCCAACCAAGGACCTAGAGGATCTAGATTCCCTGCTCAGATGGAGACCATAGGCAGATCGGTCTCCATGTGGGTTCCCTAGTTGGGGAAGCAGGAGCTGTGTCTGACATAGACTCAGTAGCTGACTTTTTGATCACCTCCCCCTGGTGGGTAGCAGCCTTGCTAGGCTACAGAGGAAGAGGAGGAAGCCATTCCTGATGGGACCTGATAGGCTAGGGTCAGACAGTAGGGAAGGAGGACCTCCCCTATCAGTAGACTAGGGGAGAGACATAGGGGAACAAGAGTGAGGGAGGGTGAAACTGGGAGGAAATGAGAGAGGGGGTAACAGCCAGGATACAAATTGCATAAATTGTAATAAATAATAAATCAATAAAGAGGGAAAAGGGGGAAGAAAAAAATCTGGCTAGGTTGCATCCATACAATGCCAGCAACAAGCTTAGAAGGATTTAACCATCCTTCAGGACTCTGCACTTGATCATTTAACATTATCCATCTAACAGTAAGGATTGTGATTTGGATTTCAGAGAACCATGGATAAGTGGATGCAGTCTATAGTCCTCACTTTTCAAGATTAAAATGAAACCAGGAAAATCCAAAGTTGGTTATGACCCTTCGCTTTAGTGTACTGACAAGTAAAGCAGAGTATGGCTGCACAGACTCCTCAGACCAGGAGACCAAACAACCAAATAAAGAATAATTAGGAGAGCAAGAATTGAAGCCCAGAAGAAAAATCTCCGAGTAACATACAGAATCTCAGTGAATAACTTTGTATACCTCTCTGAATTAACATATTCCCAGTCTGAAAACTGAGACTGATAGGAGGTTCCCTCAAGACTTTCATAACTACAATTATTTCTATTCTGATTGAAGAGACATCTAGAGGTTATTTCTGGCTTCATCCTTTCCATACATTTTCTTGATTTCTCTGGAGCCTGGAAAGAAGAAAATTTTCAAGACTATCCAGAAAGATTTCAATTCATTGAAATCTCCTAGTTGTATTATCTTACGGTTTATCATGCCCTTGTGCTACAGTGAAGTGTTATGAAAGAAATAATGAAAGTACATACCTATGAGAAAGACTACCTCTGCAGTTGATTTTCCAAACTGCTGTTCCATGTATTTAGGCAAGAATGTAAATGAAATGACAAATTCATTAATCTGAATGACACTTAATAAGATGAAAAGCATGTAAACTGGATTGCACAGCAAGATCTTCAGGAACGGCAAGAAATCTGAAAGAAGAGAGTGTAAATAGCACCAGGATAACTTGGACTTGCATTTTGTGTCCAGTTTTCTCCTGAAAGCTTCTTAGAGAGGCAGTGCAGTGACTCAAATGCATTTGATAAATCTTTAGCCCTTGGAGGCTAAAGGTCTGTGTCATAAAGTCCCTTCAAGAAGTTGGTGGCACAACTGGCTACATAGGAGCCATAACCCTATTATGCTCTCAAACAAAAGTATAAGGAGATGGAATTGTGTCTTTGGCCATACAGTTGCATTTCTTTTTCTCTCCTTTCTTTTTATTGGTATTCTGTATTCACTAGAGAGTGACAATTCTGTTCTCTGGAATCTGCAAAGGATATGCTTAGATGACCTTTGAGTTCAGACACTGATACTATCTCCCCTTTATAGAAGAATGGATAAGCTAAAAGCTTAGGAAGGTTCCAGAAATTCTGCTACAGCCCAGACCTCAGCATCTTACCAGCACTTCACAGCAGGACATGCCTTAGAAGCACCCACTGATATGTTTAAACATCTCTACATGAAAGTCTCACTGTAAGGAATGCTGACTGGGTGTATACCAAGCACCTTCCAACTGACTTAACAAAAATGTTTCCATGTTTAAGAAACTGAGAGTCAGCAGGTTAGAGTGGCACACACCTTTAATTCTACACTCAGGGAGGTAGTGGCAGGCAGAGCTCTGTGAGTTCAAAGCCAGCCTGGTCTACTACAAAGAGTGCAGGACAGCCAAGGATTTACAGAGAAACCCTGTTTAGAAAAATCAGAATAATAATAATAATGAGGAGGAGGAGGAGGAGGAGGAGGAGGAGGAGGAGGAGGAGGAGGAGGAGGAGAAGGAGAAGAAGAAGAAGAAGAAGAAGAAGAAGAAGAAGAAGAAGAAGAAG